CCCCCCCCCCCCCCACTTACCCCTCCCTCTTAGCTCAGCTTGTTGTAGTTCTGACAAGGCAGGTCCGAATTATTTCTCTGCCAGGATCCGCTGCACTGCAGCACTTCTCTCAAGTCTGCTAGAACTGACCTGATTTACATGACTGSTGCCACATCCAGACGTTCCCCCTACTTTTTTTTATCCTGATATACAGTGCTGTGTAAACGTTTTAAAGGAGTTAATGCTGCAGGGGAGGAGCTAGACTTTYTTTTTTGCAGGGGTGGCTGGGGTGGTTYTTAGTGGGGGCACATACGAATAAAGAAAAACACTCAAGATGGACACCACAGCTAGTTCCAAAAGGCTCTAATTCAGCTGTTTTAATAAAAAATTGAGCTAAAAGTTTGTGATCAGAGCCAAGACTGATAAAAACACACGCTGAATGCTCRTCACAACTTATWATTCAGTCATTTTCAGACAATCAAAGCTAAAGATTAGTGTAGAAGCAGCAGAAAACAATCTTTGCCCYATTCTAAATGCTAATAGAAAATCCAAGATGGCCACCACAAATTTAAAAGCTAGCTATAATTCAGCTGTTTTAAGCCTTATTGAGACAAAAATTTGTTATGRAATAGCTAAGAAATATCACATGCCAATTGCCAATGCTAATCTCAAATTAAKCTAACCACTAATGTTGATGCYAATTTTACAAAGGACGATAATTTATCCAATTTGTAACACACAACTGAAAAGTTATAGTAGTATCAGAGAACAATCTTTGACAAAATCTAATTAAAACCTAAGATCCCCACCCACTTGTCAGTCATTTCAGGGTGGCATCTAGGGTGGCCAATCAGGTGCCAGGAGTGGCACTTGCCACCCCGGCCTCACCTCTGGCTCCGCCCCTGCATTTCTGAATTAGAACTTTTCCACAGTACATATCTTTTTAGTGAACCACCATAAACTCTCTTCCACGTTAATATCCTTTTATCTCTTTAAGCATCATCCTAACCCCTGTAATACCATCACTGAGATGCATGCTYGCTATTGTTCACTAAAGGTCTGACCTAAAAGGACTGCAACTACCGGTTGGAAAAAAATATGCATTGCATATTAAAAAAAATCTCTATTTGATGATTTGTTGCCTGCAGCCAGTCCTTTTAGGGCCAGAGGTAAGTGTCTGTGCATGTGTGCATGATGAGCTGTAGTTTTATTTTAGTAGTTTGGATTTAATAAGAGTTTCTGCAGTTTTTGTGGGGCTGAGCAGGTCAGAGCCACAACCACTGTAAATCACATGCAAACCCTGCTGCTGCTGCTGCATGTGATAAAGGAGGAACACATGAAATAAATACACTGCACTGACGATTTACCWGTGTTGCTCAGTGCAGAACTGCTTCACTTATTCTAACTAAAATGTTTTATCTTTTTCCTGCACAGCTGTTTTGGCCATGCTTGTTTGTTTGTTGCATTTGATGCAATGTTATTGTTCTGATAATATTTATAGCTTTAATTAAATCGTCTTTCTGTTTTGTTGTGGGTTTAACATGTTTCCACTTTTTTTGTCTCCTTTTTTCCCCGCGCTCATTGGGTGCAGGAACATTCGAAGAGGAAGGTATGAGCTAACAGCACCATTAATAAASCTCAGATCAGATGAGTTTTTGCTCGCAGAAACAGAAATATGTAGATAATTCTGTCCGTTTTAAAGATATCGATCTAAACTTTAGTGTGGTAGCAGCTGCAGTRATGAGATCGTCCGTGAAGTTATATTCAGGGTTGGACCAAAGCAGCCGTCTTCAGCTGCAGCTCTTCTGTTAATCCTCCGTTCGTCCTTCTGTTTCAGATCTGGAGGAGGATAAGACGTCCATCCGTCTTTCTGTCTGTCTCCTGTCCACTCTCGTCTTCCTCCTCGCACTGTGTCGTTTCCACGTTGAAGAAGAGGGGATTAAAAAAAAGTCTTCCATTTCTGTCCTCAACTCTYTCCAAACCTCTTCAGACGATCATTTCCTCCACACCTGCTCCTTCCGTTTGTGCTCCTTTGGGGTCCTTGTTTGTCGTAGTTGGTGGGGGGGCTCCTCACACCATACCAGCCGAATCATCCCCCACACTCAGCTGCTGCCAGCCTGCAGCTGAGGACTGGGTCCAGGCGGCACCTGAAGCTGGAGAGCAGCACTCCTGGCGGGAGGCACCAGGGTCTTCCTCCAGGCTCTGGTGTCTTCTTCTCCTCACGTCTCAGTCTGATGAAGAACATATCAATGGTGGACCAATTTGTTAAGAGACATGTTTCTGATGCCTGCCTGCCTGCCGCTAAGAAGAGCAGCTACCTGGACCAGAGCACAGAGCGGTATCATGTGACARATGATGATGGTTCAGTTCCTCTGAGGTGCATCTTTATACGAACTGTGATCAGTTTTAATCTACACCTGCAAAAGAAATCCTCCAGTGGACTGAAGGACCGATTCTTTGTTCCTAAACTCTCTTTATTCCTCCCAACAAGTTTTCAGGTACAAAAAGACAAAAACAGAAGTTCGGTTTAAAGGTTTTGGGATCATTAAAACAAACAAACAAACAAACAAAACAAAACACATTGAAGAAGCAGCAGTGACCGTAACTTAGTGTTTTAAATGTCCAACAAACATTCCACTTTATCTGTCTTCACCTCCAAAGCTTGTCGAAGGTTTACTCTGTGTGTGTGTGTGTGTGTGTGTGTGTGTGTGCGTGCGTGCGTGCGTGTGTGTGTTCAGGGGTGAGTGTATGAGTGTGAGCTTTTTAAAACGAAGGACCAGAATACGTGTTTACATTCACGCTGAGCGGGAGCTGCACACCTGAACGCTCCTCCTGCGCCCGCAGGTTTTTAATCGTTCGGCTCTTTTTACAACCCTGAAGGAGCCGCGGACACGGCTCCGTACAACGGCAGCACATCCACCGTTTTTAACGTATCGAAAAGAAGAAAAAAACAGAGCACTTATACGCACACCTGTTTGTAAATACGTGCAAAAAAAATCTCTGAATGCTAAATGCAATGTAAGACGCTTTATTTAAAGCTAATAGTTTTGTTTCTGCAAATGTAAAGCTATTTATTCATCTGCAAACCTTCATGCATTTTTAAATGTGGCAAATCATCGTCTTTCACCAAAAAAGGAAAAAAAAACTTTTTGTACGTTTGTCAATAAGCTCAGAGCGAACGCCTCGGCCTCTGAAAACATTAAAACAACCACTGCTGTAAAGGAGATTAAAAGCTTCTGGTGTTTCGGGGGTCCATGGGGTCAGTTTGGTTTGTATGAAGTTTGCACTTTGGCAGATTCACTATTGTTACAAAATAAATAATAAATATTATTATAATAAATATAATAA